TGAGCAAACTTATACTTTTAAAATGGAAAAAAAATATTTGAGGTTTTTACCAGCAAAAGTCAATGCACATTTTGTCTTATTATTTTTAGTAATAGAAAATAGGTCTCACTTACCAACCATGGCGCGGTTCATAGAGGGAACTAGTTTCTTAGCTCCAGAAGGAAGCTTGATACGGGTCTTCTTGGTATCTGGGTTGTGGGAGACAACAATAGCACAGTTGCCTGAGGTACGGGCAAGCTTGCCTCTGTCACCAGCCTTCTCCTCAACATTGCAGATGGTGGTTCCTTCAGGCATCTGGGAGAGGGGAAGAACATTTCCAACTTGAAGATTGGACTTCTTTCCACAGTAAATGTATTGCCCAGTGTACATGCCCTCAGCAGCAATGAAAAGCTCATTCCTCTTCTTGTAGTGATAAGGATCACGGAACACTGCTTTTGCAAGTGGTGCTCCACGGCCTGGATCGTGAATGATTTCCTAAACATAACAAAATTGAATTCTTCCAATTTTTTTTTTTCAACTTTTTCAAACTTACCGTGATCACACCCTTGAGATAACCATGCCTTTCAGAGTAATCAGCATGTCTCAACTTGGGTGCTCCCTTGCGATGCTTGTTGTGGCTTTTGAAAATGCCACCAGCACCTTTACGCTGTCCCCTGATAACCCTACCCATTGCCTAAATAATCTGAAAAACAAAAATAATTAGATTATAATCAGAACAGTTCAGATATACACAAAATCTAGTTTGTTGAGACTTTTAAAAATACATTTGTAAAAAAAAATGGTCCTTAACTGATATAGATTAATAAGATTAATAAGATATATATGTAAATAAAAATGTGATTACTTGTTTGTTTATAGAGTGACTTATGTAAAGAGAGATAAAAACTTACCAAAAAAAAATTGACCAAATAACTTCTCTGAACATGCTAGAGCAAGACAAGGGCAGGGTGACCAGTTTAAAGAGCTCAACATACAGAATATAATCTATGATTAATATATGTTTTTTAAATATTAAATTCACATTTAATTTATTGTTAAATTAAAAAAATTATTAATTTTTTTATATAAATTCAAAATATATATATATCTTTATTATAAATTTTTTTAAAGAGTTAAAACATTATTTTGAAAACACAACACTTATGAAATATATATTTCCAAAAAAATTATATGTACATATATTTCATGCACAATATAAAATATTGTTGAACTTTCATAAATACTGCTATCATATTATTAAAACATGGCAAAATCTTGAGCTTTTTGTAGTGTGTTCTATATATTTAGAATTTTATATAAAACAATAAACATATTTTTATAAAGAAAAATTAACTTGAAATTTTTATTGATTTTTTTTTTATATATACAGAGAGCAGAGAACCTCCCTGTAAAGGACAACACCTAATTGCAGAGCCAAAGTGTCCTTTAGGGAGAGGAGTGCTATTATGGGAGAGTTGCTAAATAGTAAAAATGGTAATTTTGCAAATGAAAACTGTCCTTTGTAGAGAGGTGTCCGCTAGCGGGGTATCTGCTAAAGGGAGGTTCTACTGTATTTATTTAAAAAAAAAAAAAGAATTAATTTTTATCATTTGAAATATATGCAGAAATTCTTTGAGAAATCCCCTATAATATATCCTCTTATTATATTTATATAATGATTTTCCACTATTATATGCAACATTCATAGTAAAATAAATGAAATATTTGTTTAATATAAGCTATACTTAGAGACACATACAATGAAGAGCTGGTTGACAAGTTTAGACCTTGGTTGGCTAAGACTCCTTTTTGACCATAATTCTACGAGTATAAAAATACATTTAATTATAAAGTAGACACTTATTTTTTGGTCACAAGGTAATAAGACAAAATCCAAATAAATAAATAGTGTGTGACGTTTCTGTAGCAGCATTGTTACCATCTTCTGACAAAAGTACTGAATGAGAAATTTTACCACAGCATGTTTTAAATAGTTACTGTTATCAAGTGTGTAAACAAGATAGCAGATAAGAAGAAGACATGAAAACATGCTGTGGTGAATTACTGAAATGTCATACACTATTTATTTATTTGGATTTGGTCTTATTACCTTGTGTTTATAATCTATAATCTAAATTGTGCCTTATCATTATTTTTTGGTCATTTATTAATTTAAAAATAGATTATTTTAGGGTGGATGGGATGAGATAGGTTCATGGAAATACATCTTGTAGAAATATTCCTGACTGACATCTTCAGAATGTCATGTAAGAAATACAAGGTGCGTCTAATAAGATCAAATTACTAATAAAATTAATAAGACTAAAATATCATCATTTAGATATGGTCTTATTATCTTGTAATTCTAATCTACTAGCCGAATGACCCGGGCAACGCCCATGTTTTACCCGATTGAATGTTTTGATTCAAATACTATTTGTTACAATTATAAATTGGCGCCTTAAATAAATGCATATTTTAGTTAATAACTATAGCCTATGTGCTTTATCTGTCTATGTACTGTTGGCTTCCGTAGGCGTCTCTTACAGGGAAAAAGAAAGAGAGGATTCCATTTGGTTATTAACTAATATATGCATTTATTTAAGGAGCGACCCGCTCCAACACAATAATTACATAAACGAAAAGGCGAGTGGGGGGGGGGGGGGGCAAAGGTGGCGTGACCGTAGCCAACCAATAGGAGGGCGCCATTCCAAAAAAAAAGCAAACGGTGACAGAGATGAAAACTGATGACTGATTGTTGATTAGGAGATGAGGAATGACGCCGTAACTGTATATAGAATAATCCAAATTGTGTCTTATCACATCATGTACGAAAAAAGTTTATAGAGGCTACAGTATCTGTAGAACCTCTCTCTACTTGAGGGACAACAGAGCCAAAGTGTCCTTTAGGGATAGGTATCTTCTTACTGGAGAGTTGCTAATTAGTAAAATGTTAATTTTGGTGATGAAAAAACTGTCCTTTGAAATATAAGGTAACAAATCCAAATTAATGAAATGTTTTTGACATTTTGGTAATATCATTGTTACCATATCATCAGACAAAAGTACTGAATAAACATTTCATTAATTTGGTCTTATTGCCATATGCTTCTAATCTATAATCCAAATTGTACTTAATCACATTTTGTAGAGGCTCTACTGTAACTCTATTGAAGTACAGTAGAACCTCCCTGTAAAGGACACCTAATTGCAGAGCAAAAGTGTCCTTTAGGGAGAGGTGTCCTCTTACCGGAGAGTTGCTAAATAGTAAAAATGGTAATTTGGAAATGAAAACTGTCCTTTGTAAAGAGGTATCCTTTAGCATGAGTGTCCTCTAATGGAGGTTCTACTGTACCTTCACCTGTTAAATTCATTGTTATTTTTTGGTTTAATATTTCAGAGTTGAGTACTTTATAAAAGAAATTGATTTTATTAATGAAAACTCTTCCCTGAAAGGAAAAATGAAACTCTGAAATTAACCAAAAAATAACATAATGAATTTAACGGGTGAAGGTATCCCAATTGAAGTTCTAGACCTGCTTAGCAAAGGTTATAAATATGATATTAATTATCATATAATCACACATTAGGATATATTTTTATACATATTATTATTCCCAGTAAAGATGGGTCCAGGTCAGGATGGTGATAGTGGGCTTCTATACCACATGTCTATGCATTTAGAAAGAAATTTATCTTTTCCACTTATAAGGTGCTAGAGCCTTGTTTGGCTACTCAAGCTCACTGGTGGGGTTGGATTTGTATATATTTTTAACAGTATGCAAATTACATTTATGAATTCAATTGCAATCTATCGATAAAATTTGTAGCAATTAAATTTTTGGCAATGTGTTTATTTTTAGTAATATCATCAAATATCTCACAGACCTTACTACAATGATAAAGGTAATTGAATGAGAGGGTTTGGCTCTCTCACTCAGTGACTTTATCATTGTAGTAAGGTCTGTAGAGATGATATTTGATTATATTACTAAAAATAAACACATTGCCAAAAATTTTATTGTTACCAATATGCACATTAGTTTGTAATTGGAAGAAATTTCTATCTTATTTATAATGTCAGTAGTATTTACAATGATTATAGAAATATGTTAATATTTTATGATCACAATTTTCTGAGGCATAATATGCAATTTAGTGTGTTATAGGGTAATTTTCATATTCTGGGGTCAAAACTACGATAGCACTCCTTCCTAACTCTAAATTCTGGTCAACTTGCAGATAATATATATTGGGGATTTCTCTATAGGGAACAAACATGCATTTATATTTATATGAATACACCATTTATAAATCTTTGCTAGAAAAATTAAGAATCAAAAGTAAAAATTGCATATATAAAGTTGCAGGAGTATTATATTCATGCATCAAAAATTCACCTCTCCTGTTTAAAATGCACGAAACAATACAACAGTACAGAATGTTAAGGTAGTGATGAAGAATGTACTACAACCCCAGTTTTTGAAATTTCAGAAAATATCCAAACTACATACCGTGGTTTCGGGCTATAGCCCTCATCAGTACGGAGGCTGTCTGAATTTCATAACATCCTACAAGAGGAAACACAAGGTAATATGACCAAATCAAAATAAATAGTGTGTGATGTTTCAATAAAAACGCGGTTACTGAAATATCACAAACTATTTATTTATTTAGATTTAGTCTTATTGTCTTGGGTTTTTAATACAGTATAACCTTGCTAATTCGACACTCTACCTTAATTCAACCATATTCTGATGTCCCGACCTCCGGCCTATCAAATAACAAACCGTCTTCTTCTTCTTCTTTCTTATCTCAAAGCCATGATAATCATGGTGGGTAGTTAGCGACTGCTTTTACTGTAAGCGCACCACATGTCTGCACATGTGAAAAGCAGTTCGACTTTGCACTTACAAATGTGCCAGAGCCCCGTTTGGTTACTTGCACTCGCTGGTGGGGTTGGACTTTTGCAAGAATCGGGGGCCATTTGAGCATTTTTTTTTTTTTAAACAGAAAAAAAGTGTCCAATGCGGGAATCGAACCCGGGTCGTAGTGGTCGAAAACCAAACGGTTTAACCAGCCTTCCACCGACAACAAACCGTAATTCGACAGTATCGATAATATGACAGTTCCGATAGTTCGACCATTTTAAAATTCGAATTTCGACTGATGAATGTTTTTTAGCATACAACTTTACCGCTAAAATGGTATCACGCCGGTGGAGATGATCGGCGGGCGCCAATAGAATCGCGCTTGCGCACTTTTGGTTTCTGTTAGTTTAAGTTTCACCATGCAGTGCCATTGCGCAATATCGTGAATGTTTTTTTTTTTTTTTTTTTTTTACGCAGCAATTTAGGCTTTGTGCGCTGATTAATAATATTATTTTCTTTTTAATTTTCAGCATTGAAATATTTTAGTTGTTTTAAAATTTACAAATAATTTCCTTTTAAATAAATAAATCTTCATAAAATGTAGCCACAATGATTATGATAACATTTTATTTCAATATTCCATTTCCGTGTTTTTATAAAAGATTTAAACACAAAATCAATAACACCTGCAGCAGCAGTGGATGCCTTTAATACAATAAAAACATTGTTATTTAAAACACATTCCAGAGAAAGAAAGACATGCATGTTTTTTTTTAAATAGACCATCTGGAATACATCCTGAATAGGATTTCGGTGCAAAAACAGACATCTATAAAGGATTTTTTAAAAAGATCTCTCTTCATGATTATTTTAAAATATTATTTTTAAATTTTCTTTTTATTTTCCATATTTATTTCCTTTCAACTGCTATATTCTTCAATTAGAAAAAAATATTATTGGTAATTATGTTTCAAAAATACATGTATGTATTATTACCATTTTGTCCCTGATACTGAGAGTTAATCATTAAAATAAAAAATAAATACAAAAAATTACATACAATGGTTTCAATTAATATCATTAATTTATATTACAAAGCAATTTTTAAAAGATATTATTTTAGTGAGTTAGATGATTAGCTAATCATCTAACCTTAATTCAACACTTCCTTTAATTCAACCAAAAGCTCTGAGATTCCTTGGGGTGTTGAATTAAAGAGGTTCGACTGTATATAATCCAAATTGTACCTAATCATGCTATAAGAGGAGTTATGAAATTGGTAGCTTTTTCCCAAAAAAGATGGTGAAGTGGCAGGGTTGACAGTCTATTTTGTCGATAGGGAGGAACAATGTGTACCATCAACCATTTTAGAGGAAATTATCTGTTCGTTAAATCAAGGAGTTTGTATAAATTAAAGAGTACATGTTTACAAATTGAGCTGGGGGGTCGGTGGAAGGCTGGTTAAACCGTTTGGTTTTCGACCACTAGGACCCGGGTTCGATTCCCACATTGGACACTTTTTTCTGTTTAAAGAAAAAAAAATGCTCCAATGTCTCCCCGATTCTTGCAAAAGTCCAACCCCACCAGCGAGTGCAAGTAACCAAAACGGGGCTCTGGCATTTGTAAGTGCAAAGTCGAACTGCTTTTCACATGTGTAGACATGTGGTGCGCTTACAGTAAAAGCAGTCGCTAACTACCCACCATGATTATCATGGCCTGTACCACGTGTACTAGGAATAAGCAAAAAAAACAAATTGAGCATATATGCTTGGCCAAGACAGAACTCATGTTGTTTCTATTAAGAGTGTTATGTAACAGGTTCATGGTGGTTTGTTGCAAAGTGAGACCAGAAAGAATGGGTTATGCATGGGGAGGTAGACTCACCATATTGGCAGATGAAGGAGTACCCAAGGTGTGTTCACACAACATCCTGGAAACCCCTGTGTTGGAATTGGGTCGGGTGCATCAGTGGGATGGGAGGGTATGCAGTATCACTGATAAGGTGTGGAGTCCCAGGAGAAAACAGCAGAGTCAAGAGTGGGGTGATGTGAGCAGCATGGTGGTAGCTTGGCATCATAGAATGACTGTTTCTAAGATGCAATGTTGAAGGAAGAAGATGTCAGTAGAGGAGTTGCCAGAGTACACAAAAGGTTGTAGTAGTGGCAGGCAAGTGCAGCCTCAAAAGCAGAATGCAGGAGAGATTTAAGCACTACTCAGAGGTGAGCACATAAATGAAGGCAAAAAGCGCCATTAGTTGGTGAACTAGTTTAGATCCAATATGAACAGTCACCAGGCAGACTTCTTTATCACACACAATAGCTCTTTATTTTACAAAGCTGAGGAGAGGACAGCAGTTTTTTTTTTGTTATTGTTGTTCTGGTGCTTTAGGCATTGAAATTCAAAAGTTTCACCTAGCTTCTCTATGTAACATCTTTGAAAATCTGAAAGTGAAATTCATATCTGAACATGGATTTTGTAATAATGTTAGCATAAATTATAAACACACTCTGAGGAGAGCCTGCTGAAAAAAAAAAAACTTTCTCCACCATTTAAGATTTTTCTTGATCCAGGTTTCATCTGATAGATTAACCCCATCCATGGCTTTGTTGTATTCTTAAATCATTAAAGTTGTGGTGGCATTTCTCCCTGAGGCATGACATCGCTTGACCCATATTCACCTTTGAGATTTGCCTCTTTGAAGCTGAAAATTCCTAAGTTTCATTTGGAGGAACTTTATTGGGGCGATTCCCATTCATATTTTCCCTTATTGAGAAAATATACTGAAGATTTAAAAGCAATAATTTTAAAATAAAAATACGATTACTCGTTGGTTAGCTTTGGCGCTTCCAAAGTGGCATCACACAAAACCCAATGTTCGATTCCAAATCTCATCCAAGATGAAAATAAAACAAATGAAGTTAGGCTTTAAAACATTTCAAAACAAAACCACGTTTTTTTTTTTAGAAGGCGGGCCTTCCAATTTATAAACACGTAGAAAAATGGTCAAAAAGATTTTATAATATAAGTCGATAAAACACTTCATCAGATAAGATTTTATTTTAAATTTTTCATATTTTTAGGTATAAACAATTTAACTTAAAGCTGAATAAAATATTCTATTTCATTTAAAATTAAAATACACTTTGTTAGCCAAAAAACTTGTTTGCTTATCATGGATTTTAATATTTTATATTTATACTAGCGGAAGTACACGGCTTCGCCCGGGTTTTAGTCGAGTGAAAGTTAGCCTAATGAATATATGATTAAATATTTTCTTCGGGTAACATACTCTCTCTACTGAATCGATTTGTATGAAGACATTTATCTACTTATATATTTGCCTTATTCTGTCTGTTTGTCTGTTTGAAGCTCACGGATGGGATTTTTCATAACCATCGGTGGTTCAGTGGTAGAATGCTCGCCTGCCACGCGGGCGGCCCGGGTTCGATTCCCGGCCGATGCATTTTTTTACAATTTTTAAAACTCATTTATATATTATACAAGAATGACATCCACGGCGCCAATTTATAATTGTAACGAATAGTATTTGAATAAAAGCATTTAATCGGGTAAAACCCGGGCGTTGCCCGGGTCATTCGTATATAATTAATAATTGTATAAACGAATGCAAGACAAAATCACCGCGAATGTTTCTTTTTTTTAAGGCAATTTCTTTTAAAGGCAATTATCGTTATTTATCGTTAATTTTTGTTTCGATTTTATTGAAAAAAAAAACGATATGGTGCCTTTAAAAATGATCTTTATTACTATGCAGTTTTCTATTTAGTCAATATACCTAAGTTCATGTTGCAAATGTAATTATCTCTATCGATTTAGTAGGTGAAATGCAAAAAAAAAAAAATCGACATGATATAATCTTTATGAAAATTCACATTTTTATTTTTATATTTTCAAGACACACACAGTTTGGGGCGGGACGTTTCACAAGAGAGACATCCACGGCGCCAATTTATAATTGTAACGAATAGTATTTTAATTAAAACGTTTTAAAAACACACAGTTTGGAACGCGACGTTTCACAAGAGTGACAACAATGGCGCCAATTTATAATTGTAACGAATAGTATTTGAATTAAAACGTTTTTAAAATATATACGCACTCGGGTAAAACCGGGCAACGCCCGGGCCATTCGTCTAGTATATAAATATTTTATAAAAAATCTATTCCGTAGAGAATGGTTATTTGCTGATATATTTTTAATTTTTATAAAGATATATATAAAGAACTTTTATTGAGGGCATCTAAAAAACAGGGGATTGCTGAAGAGCCTTCACTAGAACATGCTTGCCAATGCTGGATTGGATTAGTTAAATACTCAAGCAGTCTAGGCTTTGGGGTGCAGGATTCCTGGCCAAAGGGGGTGGTTCCACTTTTGCAGAAAGGGCCAGGACGGGGTCCTCCATTTTTGGTGCCTGGGGACTGCGGCTTCTCGGCCTTTTGGCTAAGATCAAAGTGTATCTCTGTTGTGCTGTAAGCATTCTAAAGAATGGGCGCGGACAGTCCTTTGATAGATTAACCCCAAGATTTTGGACCCTCCGGACCCCCTTGGAACTTGCTCCACCTCCGCTGCAGGTTGACCTGGTAATGCCCTACCTACGAAACCCTCAAGAATGGACCAGCCGCAAGCCCCAGTGGATCCCCAAGCCCCAGAGGAACCCCAAGACGTCGAGCTGCCCACGAGCAACCCCCAATGGCTTCAAAGGCGGCTCACCCTCCAACGTAGGAACCACCTTCACATTTGGGTGAGTACCTGGCTCGAGGCGGTTCAAAAGTAAGTCGAACATTTTGGGCGCCGACGGGTTTGACGGGTTGCCTGGCTCTTCTGCTGGGCCCTGTAATCGGGACAGCGCTTCTGGTGGGATTTCCGCTTCGCCAAGTCTCGTACTTGACGCAGCGGAAATCGCGCCTGCGCGGTCACGTCGGGGACCAACGACGAGCCGCGCGGCCCGGCGATTGACCAGGTTACCGCACCCTTTTTTGTTGTGTCACGTGACCAGGTTTGTTTACCTCCTGGTAATAACAAACAGGCCGCTGATACACAATGCGTGACACAAACACGCCGCGCGATGCCCTGGTGGTAAGCTCTCCCGACACCACACGCTTGCCAGGTACACGAACAAATTTGAACCACTTACACGACCATGCCCCTGCTCTTTGTGGCCTATTTGGGATGCCTTTCCCGCTTCCTGAGGTCTTCAAATATCCAT